GCTAAGGAAGGGCCAGGATCCTTGAGCAACTGGAGGAGAGTTGCAGTCTCAGTCCAGGTCAGGACTATCACACTGGTTACTTTTCCATATTTCCTGTGTTTGTGTGGCAGACGAGTAAAACAGCCTGCGTCGAAGGCTCAGCCAGAGCTCGGACAGGCTCCCTGCTCTGTCCCCAAGCTGGTGGCCAGGCCCACCAGACTACACTTTGATACTATTGCTCGCTGCCACCCCCGGACTGTCCTCCCTTGACTTTTGTGGCCCTGTGCGCCCTTCGTATTGCCCCATCTCTGACTGCTCACTCACAGCCACCTTTGGCACCTCTTCCTCCTCCCCTTCTCGGCTGGCGTCCCTGTGGGGTTTATCCTTGGCCAGCTCCATTTCTCCTCCCATGCCCTCTCCCTGGGTGACCTTCTCCATTCACATGAATTCAACAATTCTGGCTGTGCTGAGGACGCACAAATCTACCTCTCCCCCGCTGACCTGTCTCCCTCCCTCTTGTCCTGCAGCTCAGCCTGTCTCGCCCATGTTCCCTCCTAGCCCAGTTTAACATGGCTAAAACTGAGCTCCTGAGGTCTACTCCTATTCCCCCAGTTTCCATGTCTGCTGATACCACCATCCTATGTCACCTGGGGTTGCAGTCTGGAGGGGGGTCATCGGGCCATATTTAAGTCAGGCCACTTCTTTCCCTACAACAAATCTGGACTCCAGGGCTTTTTCTCTGTCCCAATGTCTGGAATGCTTACCCAGGCTCCGATTCTCTTCCATTGCAGCCTCCTCCCATCTGGCCACCCTGGCAACAACATCGCCCCTCGGGGCCATCCAAAATGCAGCTGCCAAAATGATCTTCCTCATGCATGGATCTGGTCATGTCAGCTCCCCACCCATTAGCCGCCTGGCATGCTACTTCAAAGCTAAATGTCTCCCCCTTGTCTTCTAGGCCCTGCACAACACTGCTTTGGCCTGCATCTTGGACCTTGTCTCTTTTTATGTCCCTTAGATTCCACTCCACCAATGATACTGGCCTTGATGCTCTGTAGCTGTAGAGGTCAGGCAGGAGATGGTCACGGCAATCGAGCTGAGAAGCCACTGATGTATAGGCAATGGCCGCGAAGACAGAAAACACAGGACAGACTGTGGTGCTATTGTACAAGAAGAAATAACAGGATTCAGCAAGAGCTTGGATGAGAATGGAGGGGGAAGGGGAGCTAGAGAGTAATTGCTTTTTCCTGATACATCTTCCTGCTGCATATGGGCACCTGCAACCTTATTTAAGGCCCGAGCGAGAGAGTTATTAATAGGAACAGTGCAAGAAATGATGGCAGATGACCTGCTTTATTCCGCTGGATTAAGCATGGGATTACTGGAGGAGTGTTTAGCAATGTTTACGAGGCTCTGCTGCTTTTTCATGTTGTTGTCTGTTGTTCCTTCCAAAGAGGAGAGTTTTGTGCAGGATTATTCAGCCTCAGAATAATACCAGCTGCAATGTGATCAGTGCAGAATTTGGAACAAGTGCACTAGAAATCAACAGGTCCTAGTATTCCCCATTTAGAAACTGATCAGCCCGTTTTTACCCTGGTGCTAAAAGAGGTGCTTGTTGGTATAAATACAAATAATTGTTACAATAAAAATCTTCGAGAGAATTCTGACTGCATTCCATATGGCTGGAGGAGGAGAAGGGGAGAGAGAAGTGATGGTTGTAGACGCCCCTGGGGAGCTACGGGCAGTGTAAAATAATCTAAACAGATGGTTCATGGCCTCCTAAAGATTACTCCTCATTCCCCAGCATAACTTCCATGGTGCTAAATCCCATTAAGTTAGTGTTTAATAAAGTTCTTAATATCAAGAAGCAGCTAATTAAAGTCCTGATTACCTGCCAAACGTGCCCTTTAGTAACATACTTCCTGTCTCAATTAGCCTTTCCCTCCTCATCTTCTGTTCATACTCTCTGTGACGTTGCACTCCATAGTGTTTTATGGAAATATGCTTATGAGTGTGAATATAATGTAACTGGGATATGCTTTATTCAAAAGGTCTCTTGTAAGGTATCATTATAAAGCTTATAATCTACTGAGTTCTGTTCATCCTATTTGTATGAATGTAGCATTCTTGTATCTGAAACTAGGAATATGAAGTATAACTCTGAGGTCCTACTGTAATTATGCAAAATGTGGGCCATAAATGGTGGTTTGGAAGCTTGATGGCTTCCATTGACTAGGACAATTGGTTGTAAATGGTCTGTTTACTTACAAACCTTCCTGGGTGCGTGCGGGCCAGTCCTGGAAGAATGGAAGCTGGGGTCTCACAGGACATGTGAACATGTCACCTGATATTGGAATCCATTTTAAACCTGGTGCTTTTCCATTTAGAAGGAGGGGTGGGGACGCAAAGAGACAAAAGATTCCCGCCTTGTGCCAAAGCTATAAAAGGGGGTGGAACAGAACAAAGGGGTCTGCCAGTCATGAGAAAACCCCTAGTTACCAGCTGAGCTGGAACTAACAAGGACTGTATGAGGGAAAGGATTGGGCCCAGACTAGGAAGGAGTCTAGTCTGTGAAAGACACTTATTGGAACATCTCTGAGGGTGAGATTTTACTTGTAATCAGTTTCTTAATATATTAGGCTTAGACGTGTGTGTTTTTGCTTTATTTTGCTTGGTGACTTACTTTGTTCTGTCTGTTATTACTTGGAACCACTTAAATCCTACTTTTTATACTTAATAAAATCACTTTTGTTTATTAATTAACCCAGAGTAAGTGATTAATACCTGGGGGAGCAAACAGCTGTACATATCTCTCTATCAGTGTTATAGAGGATGGACAGTTTATGAGTTTACCCTGTATAAGATTTATTTGGGGTTTGGATCCCATTGGGAACTGGGTGTCTTGGTCCTAGAGATAGGTGACCTACTGAACAGTTTTTGGTTAAAGTCTGCAGCTCTGGGGGCATGGACCAGACCTGGGTCTGTGTTGCAGCAGGCTAGCCTGTCTGGCTCAACAAGGCAGGGTTCTGGAGTCCCAAGCTGGCAGGGAAAACAGGCTCAGAGGTAATTCCAGCACGTCAGGTGACAGTCCCAAGGGGGGCTCTGTGACTGAACCCATCACACTCTCCCTTTAAGAAAGAGTTTAGGATTAAAAGCTATGTGTACATAGCACCATTCACTTTTGACTCTCTGGGCCAGATTCTCTTTTCTGGTATGTTGGTGCAGCCCTGTTGAAATCAGTAGGATTGCACTGGAGGAAGAGAGAAGGGAGCATGGTCTTGTAGTCTCACAGAGTTTGTTTTCAAAGGGATTTGGGAATTTCAGCTTCATTTTTTTTCTTGCATTCATCACTATTTCAGTAGACACAACGCATTCTAAAGGATGGGAGGGTTGATCTAGTGGTTAGGGTGGTAGAACTGGAATCAGGACTCCGGGGATCTAGCCCTCACTCTGCCACTAACTAGCGGGGTGACCTGAGGGCTGGGGTCACTTACAACCAGATTTTTTTTCTTCAAAGGTGCTGAACACCAGTAGCTCCCATTGGTTTCAGTAGAGTTGGTAGGTGCCCAGTGCCTGCGAACAATTAGGCCATGTATCACTCTGTGCCTCAGTTTACCTAATATGAGGGAAACAGTCTCTGTGTCTGTAACGATCCATTTCATCAGGGTGTTGCGAGGCCTGGTTAATGAATGTTAACAAAGCACTTGGGAATCCTTGGTTCCCTATACAGTTACAACACGGTGTGATGAAATGTGGGTAACATGACAAACTGTGAGCATTTCCAAACTATCCAGACCTAACACACAGCAGGAGCTGTCTCAGCTGGGATCTCAAACCCTTTGAAATTCACCCTGCCCTTTATAAAGGGCCTCGTCTCTTTCATGCCAGTGGGATACAGCATTCAGTGATGGCAACAGGTCTCTTGGTTACACAGGGCCATGCTGTGATACCGAGAATCTGAACCTCCTAGTAAATTATATTTAGTTCAGGGAAGGGGGAAATAACCCAGTGTGAGTACCGGAACCAGCACCAGATGAAGAGATTAGCCAGCATACATTTATCTGTCAAAATTATGTTTAAAAAATTATAGCAATTTACACAGACGAGATGATGAATAAACATTCTTTTTTCAGTGCCCGTTCTCAGCTCATTGGTGCCTGATTTGAGCTATCCCTTGGAATAGACGTTCCTATCTGTTACCTTGGTCTGAATGCTGAATAACTCTGGGTATGTCTACACGGCAGTCAGGAGGTGTGACTGCAGCACGTGTAGACGTGTCTGGGCAAAGGCCACTCAGGTATGTATCCAGGGTCCGGGCGGGCAGGGCTAGCCTATGGAGCTACCGCTGCTCCTGCAGCATAACTGCTGTTTTTACTCAGTAGCAGTTATACTGCTAGCTAGATCAAAGCCAAGTTGGGTATGTGTACGGGTGTTGCAATTGCCCCTTCTGATTGCAGTGCAGACATAACCTCTGTTGAAGCCAAAAAGGCGACCTAGCGGTGAAAGGCTCAATAGCCCATTTGGAGGCTGAGGGCATTGACCTCTGCTTCTTTGAGCCTGAGCGTTTTCATGGCTAACCTGTGAAAACAACACCCATCTAGAATCACATGCAAGGGAGGGTCTTAATAGTTTGCCACTGTCTGGAAATAGCAGGGTGATTTAATAAAGGTGATGTAACTCTTAAGGCTGAATTGGAAATAGGAGTTTTACGAAAGGGGAATTTTAATATTGCTGGGATTTTTATTTGACAATCTCTTACCAAGTGATCGTGACATTAGAAAGTGTGGGAAACTGGAGAAAGTACCATACGGCACTAGTGTAAACTAGAGATGGGCCTAAATTCAAACTCTGGATCGAAACACACACAGACGTTGGGGAAACAGACCCCAAATCTGTAGCTGGCCCTTAGCTTTATAGAGGGCTGAAATCAAACGTTAGGTTCTGAAGGTTCCAGATGGTGGAGAAATGTGGAGCTGAACTTTCGGGCCCATCCCCAGTATCAACAAATGGGGTGGCCTGGTTTATATAAATTCAAGATGCCTGTCCTCTGGGACATTGTATTTAGTTTTATGCGCCTCAAAGAGTTTGCACAGTTCCTCAATGTACGTCTGATGTAATCGATCGACTTCTTCTTGGGATGGGTTGTGCTTCTTCTCCACTTTAATTGGCTTCCCAACTGGAAAACAAACGCACAAACATTAGGAAAGACTACAGCCTCTGAGCCGGGATATCCAGATGCCACCCTCATTTTTAATGCCAAGCTCTGGCCCCTGGAGGCCCCAGGTTCAAGTATGCAATGTTCCAGTTGAACAGAATTGTAGTTAGGGATCAAGATGGAATATTGTATGCTGGGGACTTGTAGTTGGGAGGTGGTGGGCCTAGCTGATAGGGCACTGAACTACAACTCGGGAACTAGACCTGGGTTCTTGTTCTAGCTCTGCTGGGTAACCTTGGGCAAGTCTGCTCACCTCTCTGTGCCTCAGTTTTCCCCATCTGTAAAATGGGGATAATGATACTGACCTTCCTTTGTAAAGTGCTTTGAGATCTGTGGATGAAGAGTGCTAGCTAAGAGCTAGGTAACGTTATCTGTGGGCACCATGAGACGCAAAGGCAGGCTGTCGCCATTTGAGATAAATGAGATGTGGTGTTGGAGCTCCTGGCAGGCCGCTCACTGTTACTAGGATTTGGCACCTCTGGAGTAACCTCTTGTTTTAAAACACAGAGAAAAGATCTCAGTGAAGCCACAAGCTGCCCCTGGAATCTGGGCTCTCGCCCAGGGAAGAGCCGTGGGAGCACTGTGGCTATCACCCAAAAAGCCTCCCCCCTTAATCATAAGCTGGATTTATCTACAACACCATTCACAGAGCCCCAGGAGGAAGGCGTGGGGCCCGGGGAGCATGTCTACACTGCAAACACCTGCCACTGGCCTATGGCCACTGACTTAGCCTAGTGGGGCTCGGGTTGCAGGGCTAAAAAACTGCAGTTTAGGTGTATGGGATGAGGCTGCAGCCAGGACTTGGGACCTCGCAACCAGGAGGTTCCCAGAGCCCCAGTTCCAGCCTGAGTTTGAACGTCTACCCTGCAATTTTATAGCCCTCCAGCTCCACCAGCCTGGGCCAGCAGCCGGTGTTTTATTGCAGTATGGGCATATCCACAGAGGTCAAGATTTTCAAAATATACTTGTAATTTTGGTTGCTTCCATTTCTGGGAGCCCAACTGGAGACGCACCTTAAAGGATTCTGCTTTTCAGAAAGTGCTATCCGCCCACCCTCTGAAAACCTTCACAGGGTTTGAAACGGCTTTTGAAACGCCTCCAAGGTATTTTGGCTCCTAACTTCCATTGCGATCAATGAAAGATGCGGACTGGGCCTAAGTGACTCTAGCAATGAGAACAAGTGCCCTCCCTCCCCAAGAAGCAATTGACAGTGGGACAGGCTGCCTCTTTATCAGGCAGGAAGGCCTTGGGGTTATCTGTCATCCTTCTGAACTTCACTCTAATTGTGTTTGTCAGGCTGCAATGGGTTCCTATTGTTTTGGGTTGCTGTCCATCTGTCTAATTACAGGTCCTGAAGATGCGGGTGTGAGGGCGAGTAAAGCCATTGAGAGATCCAAACAAGCTGTAAAACAATTAGGAGTAATTGCAGGCTGTCAAACCCAATCAGCACTGTCAGCCTTGGCCTTTTCAAACAGCCTCTTTAATTAGACTAACAAATGCTGGCTGTGCTCAGTGGGTCAAATCCACTGTTGGTGAAAGCAGGTGTGATTCCACTGAAACCACTGAGCTCCACTGAAATCTAGCCACACGCGGACTGGCGTGCTAGGAACTGCCTTTCTCTGCAGTTTGTTCACCGAGGCCCAGACCCTCAATGGTATTTAAGAGCCTATCTTCTACTGGGACTTTGGGGGGTATTTAACCAGCTCTTTCAGCTGCTTCTTCTCTAAACCTAGTGCTGCTCCTTTTAAACACTCCTGTAAACTCTGTAGGGCTGCAGATTTGTTCAGTCTCTGATCTGCTTGTGGAAGTGGCTGGAGGATACAGAAACAATCAGCTCTACTTAGTGTGATGCAAAGTCTCAGGTCAGAGCTGAACCAAAGCAACCTTGTCCCTATGTATACCATAAATGGGTCTTCCTGTCACCCCATCCCTATGCTGTAGCCCTGCCCATCCTTGCGGGAGGCAGCAGATTTCCGAGTTCAGATGAATGGGGAAGTTCACACCTCTTGGAGCTATTGTTTCAGGCTGTCTGCGGACTCAGGCAGACATCAATTATACTTGGGTCACATTTTCAAGCTTTTCTTTGCATTCAGGAGCCGGTGCCCTATACATATGTCTGAAATGAGCCATGGCTTAGTTTGTGCAAGCTGGCAGCAAATCCATAACTCCACCCTGGAGCCAGGAGAAAGCAGGGGAAGGAATTGTATGTCTCTGAGTAACAATGCCCCTTGGGGCTGCTCTGGGGTTGATGTAGCGTAAGCACAACCCCGGCAAAGGGCTGTGGCCAAAGGCACCATCTTGTCCTACCTAGATGGTGATGTGCCCTGTAACAATCTCCAAGCGCAATCACAGCACCCAGTGACCAGGACAAACTTACCCACAGTGAAGATGGGCCGTCGATACGGGAGCAGCCCGAAGCTGTACTGGAACACGCCCCGGGCATGGAACAGGGGGAGGGAGATGCCCATGATTTGCTGAAGACGGTGCTGCGTCCGCCTCAGCCAGGAGCCCTTTGGGTTGTCGACCTGGTCAAAGAGCTCATTCTCCCCAAAGGAAAACACGGGGACGAGTGGAGCCCTGCGGAGGGAGAACGGGGACAGGGCAGGCAGCACAAGCGCGGCAGGCCAGCAGACAGTGCACGGAAGAGGAGGCTCTTTCTGTGCATGGCCAGAAGCCAGCAGAGCTCTGCACTCAGCAAGAACTCGCGCTTTGCCATTGGGCAAGAGATAAGGCGGAGGCACCGCCGCCTGCCTCTCTGGGAGAGCAGTGTCTGCAGAGCCCACGCTAGGGCTAATAGTGCCGGGGGAGTGGCGTGGCTCTGCTAGCCTAACCCCTGTACGTCCAAGGAGTCTCTGCCTTGCTCAGAGCAAGCAGGCTCCCCCTTGCCACAGATGGGCAGGGCTGTCGAGGGCATGGTTTTATGAACACAGTGCTGGCCTTAAGCATAAGCAAAGCCAATGGCCACTTGCGCCAAAGCCCACTGAAGTAAACGGAGAGACTCCCGCTGGCGTCAACAGGCTTTGGAGCCGGCCATTAGAGGCACCCCATCCAGCGTCCGTCCTGGTGCTCTCCGGCCAGCCCCAGCTCTCCTTCCTGCTGTGGGACTGGCAGGGGAACGGCCCAGCCAGCAGGCCGGCCTCCCCTCCTCTGGCCGGGTGGCCTTGTTTCCTTGCCTCCCCTCCCGTCACTGCGGTGTCGGCGTGAGGGCAGCGACAGGGCTCACAGCATTACCCGTGCTCCATGGCCAGTCGAACGAACCCCTTGCGGTTTTTCAGCAGTAGGGTGAAGGCTCCAGGCCGCGCATCTAGGGCCTCCTGGGCCCCTCCCACTGCTATGACCAGCACGTTCCCACCTCCCCACCTCCTCAGCACGTACGAAGCACTGTCTTTGTCGGATGGGACGAGACCTGGGAGGGGCAGAGACAAGAAGAGACGCTTGACACTAAGAGCCTCAATTACCATGGGCCAGTCATTCATACATCACTACTTGTACAGCTCCACTACGGTGCTTGAAGGTGCATCCTCCTCCTCTCTTCTATAGCGCCAGATGTTGATCCAGCCCTTTCCAGCCCTCCAAACCCCAACTGGGGGACAGTCACAAGGTGCGCTGGTCCCTTTTAGGGAATCTGGGATTTGGAAGTGAGAGAAGGTGTTTGGCAGATGTGGTCAAAGAGACAGTCCCTGGTACAGGAGGCATCATGGTGGAAAACAATAGTACATATGTGATTGTTAGCATCCGGAGACCAGGCAGCGGCAGACGAAGGAATAGGCTAAAAAGCAGAACCGTAACTAGGGTGGGACTAATGGGACAGCCGCCCAGGGTGCAAAGCCGTGGGGGTGGAAAAATGAGGAAAAAACCCCAGTAGGGGGCGCAAATATGTTTGCTCGCCCCAGGTGCTAAAATGCCTAGTTACGGCTCTGCTAAAAAGACGCTATTGGGATAGCATGGGAGCTTTTGTTGCCTTTTGCCAACAGGCCAGTCCTGAACCATTCCATTCTCTCTCTGCCACTGACTCACAAAGAGACTTTGGGCAGCTCACTTGGGCTGGGATTTTCGGAGTTAGGTGCCCAACTCGATGGAATATTACTGGGATTTGAGTGTCTAACTCTCACTGGCCCCTGTGGAAATCGTACCTAGTCTCCCCCTGACTTAGTTTCCCCATCTCTTCCTTCGTAAAATGCCGTGCGTGCTCAGCTGGAAAGTGCTATGTATCACACTATGGCGCAGCTGCTCACTCAGTTCCCACCCCAAAGCCTTGTTGCTCTTTCTGCCAGCTCATGTGCAATGGGCACTTCCGGGTGCCAGGGGCACGGCCGAATCTGCTGCTCCAGCACTTCGAAAGCGCTGCTGCGGCTGGTGTAAAGGGTTTGGGCAAGCACCCAGGAACTGATCCCGCAAAGCACTTACACAGGTGCTGAACTTTGTGCGCAAATAGTGCCACTGACTTCAGTGAGACTATTCGTGTGGCTAGAGCAAAGAGGATGCTTCCAGCTTTACTGGACCGAGACCTAAAGCCTTGCTGCTGGTCATGAATAAACAGAAACAGGGGCAGCGTTTTGGAGGAGGAAAAGACAGAGGTGGGTTGGCGTGCAGTTCTTATTGACATCAATGGGAGTTTGGCCACTGGCTTCAATGGGAGCAGTATTGGGCTCCTATTGGTGACCTGGTGGGATGACAAACCCCATCTTTACCTGTGGAGGCAATGCAAACGGTGCCAGCCCTGGTGAGCCCACTGGGTTTCTGCCTCCCTCTGATGTCTCTCTAAACAGTGGAGATGCAACTGTGACTCGGTCAGCAGGCTGAGAGCCAGGTGACCTGCATTCCATTCCACCTCTGCCACTGACTCATCGAGAGACTTTGGGCAAGACACTTAGGCTGGGATTTTCAAAGGAACCTAAGAAACATCCACTGAATGTTACTGGGATTTGAGTCTCTAACTCTTGCTGGCTCCAGTGGAAATCGTACCTATTAGCTCCCTGACTCAGTTTCCCCATCTCTTCAATTACACTTAACCGCCTTCGGAAAGTGCTGGGCAGGATCAGATGGAAAGTGCTATGTATTATTTTCATCCGCTTATTTTTTCTCACTGCCTGTTCCTTCCCCAGTCTCCAGCATTCTATCTGTGCCTGTGGGAACGTCTACACTGCAAAACCAGGCAGTGAGTCTCAGAGCCCAGTTTAACTGATGGGCTTGCAAGGCTCATGCTGCAGGGCTAAAAACAGACCCTCCCCCCTCCCCAGTTAAACCGAGGAAGTAGGGGGAGGAGAGAAGGAAGGACAGGGCATTAAAGGGCTGATTGTACCTGTTCAAAGCTTTTTTTCCTGTGTTCCCTCCACTCCTTGGCTGTGTACCTGCTTATGGCAAAGAACATAGGGACCCAAACCACTAATAGGCTCCCCAGTGTGACTCTTCCAAAATCCCCAGCTTTTCACGTGGTCCCAGAGGGCCAAGGTCCTATCTGTCATTACCACTGCCCCTCATACTCTGCCCCCATGCTACGGCCCTGCTTACCTCCACTCAGCAGGTAGTCCCTGAAGAAGGGGACTCTGAACCAGAGTGTCAGCATCATCATGTGAGGGGTCAGCCCCGGGAACAGCTGCGAAAACCCCGTTGCCTCGGTGCAGAAATTGAGGAAGGCACCGGCCACCAGGACCCCGTGGGGATGGAAGCCGACCACGTAGTTCTTACTTGGATCCAGCTCTGCCGTTTTCACCAGCTGGAGACACAATAACCCATGAGGAGATATAACACAGACAGAGTTGGGAGTTTGTAACGAATCCTTGAGCTGCCGCCAAAGCCTGGCTGGGCATTCGCCTTAGAGAACAGTCATGATTTTTCTTTGTGTGTGGCTATCTCCCTCCCTCTAGGGGGCGCTAACAGTGAGTGCTCCTTACCCTCCGACTCTCACAGAGGCTAGAGATACTCAAAAATTTTCCTCCCCTCCCCCCAATTTTTTTTTTTTTTTAATTTTTCATGGCAAATGCCCTTTTAACCAAAATGGGAGATTTCCACCCACTGTTTTCATTTTGGTCACTATCTTTCCATTTCTGAGGAAAATTTCAAGCCAAAATCTTTTGAAGTTTTTGGAAACATTTCATTTGGGGGGGTGTGGCTGGGGGCGGGGGGGTGTGGCTGGGGGCGAGGGGGAGGGCTCTCTACTGTGTCTCTCTCTTTTTAAACATCCCCTTCCTTTTCTAGTGGGAAAGTTTAAACATTGAGAGACTGTTTTTCCCTCTCCCACGCCCCCCATTTTTTTTTTTCAACCAGCACTAGCAGGGACCGCAGCTGTGCCTGGCTCCTGTGGCGTAAACAAAGTGTGCAAGGAAGGCTCCTTGGCCCAGATCCTCAAAGGAATTTGTGCACAATAGGCCTGTAGCCTCGGAAGTATGTCAGCACTCACGCCCATTGAAATCAGTGGGTGCTAGGCCCCTAGAGACCTTTGAGGATCTGGGTCCTGTTGTGTCCTACCCCCAGTGGCGTGGCGCTCCTGCCCTGCTTTAAGGCAAAGGCCCTCTGGGGTAAGGCTATGAGAGAACAAAGGATTGTGGGTACAATTTGAATTCCTAGCAACACCTCAGCCTGCCTGACTTTCTCCTGCAGGTGTAGGGGAGCTCTCAAGTCTGAGAAGGAAGAAAATGGTTTAATATGCTGGAAGAAGGCCGAAAAAGAGCCACTGACCCCAGCAAGGGGCGCTCGGCTGCATCTGGGCTAAAAGCACATTCTCTGCAGCCTTGTCTGCATTGAGAATTGGAAGTAATTCTCCCACTGGTGCTTAGGGTGACCAGACAGCAAGTGTGAAAAATCAGGACTGGGGTGGGGGGTAATAGGAACCTATATAAGAAAAAGCCCCAAACATTGGGTCTGTCCCTATAAAATCGGGACATCTGGTCACCCTACTGGTGCTAGAACACCAGCACAAGCAGCTTTTCTAGGGGGAGTGACCATGGGAGAGCAGTGCAGACCAGGTGCAAGGGTAATCCATGCCTGCTTGGTGTGGTGCTCTGGCCCCCTCTAGTAGCAGCTACACCATCAGAGAGTGGTGAGCCTGCTACACGCTTGGCTAAGAGGTGTGTGTCTTTTAGCTCATGCAGTAGTGGCTCATGGATTAAGCTCCAGGGGTCCCAGGTTTGATCCCAGCTGATCACAACCAGGGTGTCTTGGTGTTACACAGGCATAGCTTATCATAGTGTTCTTTGCAGGTTCTGAGAAGGGCTTCCCCCTTTGTTGGGCTGGCTTAAGGGTAAATGTCACACAGTGTTTAACTTTTAGGGGGCGGATCCGGAGTCCCCCCGTCCTTTCCCCTGCTGGGACAGTTTCAGGGACAGGGGCATCTGCCCCTTTAAGGGCATCTCTGTCCCACTTCATTGATGTGATCATCAGCAGGTGACAAGAGCCACTGGACTAGTTTGGTTACAGCCCAGCTCAGCTATTCAGTCCCTACCAGCTGGGACAGCGGGTCTGCCCCTTTAAGGACATTCTCCCCTGCCCTCCCTATCACTGCTAGAGCCCCCAACTATCTGGAGCTGGCCTGGGTTTGATAGCCATCAGGATGCGCTGCAAGGGCTGGCTTTTCTCCCAGGCTTTACAGGAGGAGGGTGTGTGTCAGGGATGTACGTGTTTAGCTGGAGAATTGGGGGTGGGAGGTATGTTTTTATCTGGAGACTGCAGGAGAAGCAGATTCATTTCATAGGATATGAGACATGATAGTGCAGTTCAGGATGCCTGGACTGTGCCTTGGGCACTCGGCTGACTTGCCTGACCCATTTGAGAACGTGGGCACTTCCAGCCCGAGTTAGACTTGACCAAGGGTCTGCCTACACTGCAATTAGACACCCGCGGCTGGGCCGTGCCAACGGATTCGGGCTTGTGGAGTTAAGGAGTAGTTTAATTGCAGTGTAGCTGTACAGGATCCTAGAGCCTGGGCTCTAGCGCGAGCCCAAATGTCTACACCACAGTTAAGCAGCCCCTTAGTCCGAGCCCCGCAATCCCGGGGCAGCCGGCACGTGGGGTTTTAATGGCAGTGTAGACAAACCCTCAGTGACCTGGAGACAAAAGTTCCTGCCACCCTGCTCCCAGTTCCCTGAGTCATCCAGTCACTCCCACAGTTAGCTTTACTTACGGCCCAGCTTCAGGAGTGAAGAAGCGTGTTGTAGAGGACTCTGTGTGTGTCTGGCTGCTGCACTAAGATAGGAGCGGAACAAAATCTACCAGGAAAAGCCCCCAGGGAAAGAAACGCCTCAGGAGCTGACACACCACTGCAGGCGGCACAGCAGGAGGAGTGAGTCTGTAATAGGCACTCAGGGCAGGGTAGAGACCTTGTCAATGAGCTGAGGGAGGCTGGGAGCAGGGTTGGTGCAGAGCTGCTCTGCACCAGCTGGGCAAGCTCACCACAGGGGTTATTCTCGGGTCCAGTTCCACTCAGCATAAAGCCCTTTTCACCCCCAGAGCAGCTTAAAGGGCCTTTTGCCTAAGAGAGAATCAGGCCCCACAAGCATTATCCACTCTGCTGCCTCTGAGTACATCAGTCCACTCCGTGGTGCTATTCTAGTGGCAGAGCAGCTAATTAATTCTCCTGGTGAAAGCCAGAAGCGGCAGCAGGTAGGTCATAAGAGGTATTTTTTATGCTGTGGCTAATTTTCCATCGGTCCCGGAGCATTATTGACAGTGCACATGTACCCAGTCACGCGCCATCTCCTAACGAGGTGAGGTTGTGAACAAAAAGTCCCTTTGCTGCCGAGCACAGGCGCTGAGCAAGCAAAGGGATCCGATTGCTGATTTCACTCAGTAGCCAGGGACATTGCCATGATTCACTCAGTCTCAGGCAGCCTAGATTTGTTTTCTGTAAGTAACGTACATTTATATAAGGCCTTTCCTCCTCCCCAAGTAGTTCATAAACTAGATCTAAGGGTTTGGGGCATCACTGAAATGTAATCACCTCTGGGGCGGAGGGATACTCAGGAGCTGTTTAATGGGCCACGGCAACACTCAAGAACAGCTTAGGAGAGGAAATGAAGACTATTTCCCCCGACTCTGAAGGGGAATATTGGAGGTAGGTAAGTTGTAGCCAAGGGAGGTATTGTGGTCTAGTAGTTAGAATAGAGGACGGGGACATCTGGTTTGTAATCCTGGCTGTACCACAGACTTTCAGAAGACTTCACCATTTGGATGACCATAGGCATCACAATAAGAGCTGAGGTTTTTTTGAAAATCTGTCCTTTTATCTAGGTCAGGGGTAGGCAACCTATGGCACGTGTGCCGAAGGCGGCACGTGAGCTGATTTTCAGTGGCACTCACACTGCCCGGGTCCTGGCCACCAGTCCAGGGGGCTCTGCATTTTAATTTAATTTTAAATGAAGCTTCTTAAACATTTTAAAAACCTTATTTACTTTACATACAACAATAGTTTAGTTATAGATTATAGACTTATAGAAAGAGACCTTCTAAAAACGTTAAAATGTATTACTGGCATGCGAAACCTTAAATTAGGGTGAATAAATGAAGACTCGGCACACCGCTTCTGAAAGGTTGCCGACCCCTGATCTAGGTGCTTAGGCGGATGCTGAGCTCTTAAAAATCTGACCCTTTGTGGGTGCTGAGCACTTGCAAATCTGGTTGTGGGTGACCTTGGTCTGCCCCCTCTAATAATGAGAGATGACTCCAAATCAAAATCTCAACTCCACACACTCCTGGACGTTAGCTGCTCACAATCTGAATATTGCAACCTATATCCATCGCTCATAACACTGGCCGAGCTCATAGGGGTGAGACATGGGACCAGAACTTCTTGACAACCAGGAACAAATGTCTCAAATTGCGCACCCAAAAATGGAGGCACACAAAGTTAGTGAGCATTTCTGAAAAGCTGGCTGGAAGCAATTTGTCCATGGCCTCGCAGTGCATCCATAGCCTAGCTAGGATTTGAACCTAGCTCTCCTGAGGTGAGGTGAGGCCAGTCCCTTAACTAACACTCTGTTCTTATAAGCACTATTGCCTCTGTTTGCTTGGGTGCCTCATTAACCCATATGCTACAAAATGAACATTTTTGAAAATGTCATGCAAGGAGAACTAATTTTTATCACAGACCATAAGGGAAGGAAGGACAGTGAGACACAGGGCACAGTTCCTGGAAGGAGATCCAATTTAGACAAGCCGATGATGGGGAATGCAAATCTCAAAGAGAACTATTCAATGGGAAGGAGACAGCTGGGAAGCAGGAATGCTGAAAAACAACCCTAGATGTGATAGCGTAAAGCATAATTTTGGATGCTGTTGGGCTTTAGGAGACCTGGTTTGATTCCCAGCTCTGCCACGGGCTCCCTGTGTGTCCTTGGGCAAGTCATTTAACCTCTCTGTGCCTCAGTTTCCCATCTGTAAAATGGGTAGACAACCCCCCGCCCACACACACTTTGTCTCTCTTGTCTATTTAGAAAGTAAACTCTTCAGGGCAAGGGCTGTGTGTGTGCGTGTTTGTATGTGCAATGAGGCCCTGACCTGTTTGGGGCCTTGAGGGGCTATTGATATACAAATCATAATATAAATAGAGACACCACAGCTGAAGGAAAGTCCTGCTCCCTTCATCCTTGGGGACACCATCTCTTGGACAGTACATTCAGTACTAGGTACCACCACAGCAAAAGGATACTGGCAAAATCGGATATAATTAGGGGGCTGGAGGGGATCAATAAGGAAAGATTAACATCTTGATATTTTGGCTGAAGGACCAGAGGAGGATGTTGTTATTTAGAAACATTTCATGGGTGCAGACACAAAGGGTGGAATCCTGCCCTTCTGGGGAGTTTTGTCATTGCTTCAATAGGCTCAGGATTTCACCCCAGTGATGGAAAGGAGTAGGGCTGATGGTGGGCCAAGGACATGCATTCTGTAGGCTGAAGAGTGGGAGGAATTTCATTGCAATGAGATGTCAGGGGTTCTCACAACAATTTTTTTTTTTTTAGACTTGCTAGCTAGTAAGTCTGATTCTACTTTTCACAGCAGCAGAATTGTTAGCTAGCTGGGAGGCAGTGAAAAGTGATATTAAGAAACAAACAGATATCACTTTTCACAGCAGACTTATTCAGCCCTGGCAAGCCAGGAGACAAATTAAGTCTTGGATGGGAGATGGGTAGGGAGGCAATGAGGCTGGGGGTGATGTGGTGGATGGGTGAGGGGCCGGAGGAGGCCGTGAGGACCGGGGGTGATACATGAGGGGCTGGGGGACAGAGCCCATGGCCAGAGCCCACCGCCGCATGGCTGGAGCCTGCCACCCGCCATCCCAGGGCTAAAGCTGGAAGCCTGAGCCCCACCGCCCTGGGGAAGGTGGGGGACTCACACCAGCTGTCTGCTCCTCTGGCGTTTGTGGCTCCAGGGGAGCCCTCCCCCGATCACCACCCAGAAAGAAGGCTGGTGTCCGCAAGAAAAGCCCCTGGTGGCTGCATTTGAGAAACGCTGCATTAGACTGTGGAACAGTTGAGCGGTTCTCAACCTTTTCCATTCTGAGATACCCTCCCCTGGCTCCTCTTTGCAATACGAGCAATCAGAACCCCAAGAATAGTCCATTTGTGCCTCCTAAGACTGGACACAACACAAATAGACACTAGAGGGAACAAACCCGCAGCAGCCAGAAGCATGGACTAGATAAAACCGAACAGTCCTTTTCTATCCCTGATTTCCACAAATCCTGATTCCCGTGCAGTGAATTTATCACTGGTTGCACAGCGTTCTCATTATGGCTGGTTGCTTATCGCTCTCCTGCAATGCTTTCCTTTTAGGTTTCCCCGTGATTTATTATACTTTTATAGCATGTCTGTGTTTAGCCACTGCATTTAGAATTGCGCTATCTGTTGCCGTATCATTTGTTTTCTTTGCAGGTTCCTTCTGGCAGGAGCTGAACCAGAATGAAAATCCTGGTGTTTTATAATCCTATCAGCTGGAACATCTGTTCCCAATGTAGGTTTCCTCATGGAAGGCCAGATCCACTCCCCAGTGCGTTAACCTCTCCCGATCTGGTTCCATAATTCCGCAGACCCACCGGGGAACGCAAACTTGCAGATCTTGGTTCTGCCATGGCAGGCCTGGCTAGGCTGCCTCAGCATGTCCAGGGCTCTGGGTGAGCGGCACACCCTGACCTGTACACAGTATCAACTTTAGGCCTTTGTGGTTGCAAAAGGACCGTGCTTCCTCAGAGCTGATATTGCATCACCCTAATCTGACCCACAGCTGCACATTCACTAACGCATGGGTAAACCTTCTTCCCCTCTGCCCCATCTACTACTCTGCCAGCCCAGAGAATTCCAAATCAGCCTCCCTGTTATGGTTGCACATAGACTTGTATGTCCCAGTAGCCTCAGAAGTGGCTAATGGGTATGAGTGCAAAGGCTGCTGGGACTTAAATGTTGGCAACCGGCTGACACACCAGAGGGATGGTAAAGTGGAGTCAGCTGACCAGAGAAGCCAAGAAGACCCCACATTCTGCATGGGTCAGTTCTGCAGTCCCATGTATATCGTTTCATCGGCTGTTCCCTTGTTCACGTAGAGCAGCGGTTCTCAACCCACGGGCTGCATGCAGCCCAATTAGCACACAGCTGTGGCCCAGCTGAGCTGTGTGCTAAAGGCCAGCCCGTGTGCCGGGGTCTGCCAGGTTCCCGGCTGCCCGGCACGGAGGGGTCCAGGCTGCCCTGCCACCCAGTGCGACGCGGTCGGGGCCCCGGGTCTGGGGCAGCCGCGTGGCGGGGATCCAGGGTTGGGGCAGCCGGCTGGCCCTGGGAGCTTCAAGGTCCGGGGCAGCCGTGCTGCCCTGCCAGCCGGCCCCTGCAACACATTGTGGCTGAATATGTGGCCTACAATGTGTAATAAATTGACAACGACTGGCATAGAGCTTGGGGAGGAAGGGTGGCTTTGGTGTTAGGGCACCTGCCTGAGACTCAGGAGACCTGTGTTCAATTCCTTACTCTGTCACGGACAAATTGTGTGACTTTGGTCACATCACTGCCTCCATTCCCAAGCTTTTGTTGAGATGTTGTGGGTGAAAAGGAAATTCCTGTCTTGCCTATTTAGATTATAAGCACTAGGGGAGGGATGTTTCTTACTCTGTGTGTGTACAGCAGCTAGCACGCTGGGGCGTTGACATTGGTTCCGAGTCTGGGCATTGCTGTAATAACAATAAGCAATTCTGCACATAGTGGATGTGTGAGCAACTTTTTCGCATGCAACTCAAGCATCCACAGCCAGAGATTGCATCTAGATCACTGAATAAGCCAGCTGCTTACATTCACACCAAGTCTGCTCCTTTTCAGACTGGTTTGATTAGTGATGTGCATACTGCAAGCTCAGGTAAGGGTAGCCATGCTTTCTTAGGTACTTATTTGACCCCTATTACCACAGTATCTGAGCATCTCACTCTCTTTAATGGATGTAGCTTCATAACACCCTGTGAGGTAGGGCAATGCATTATCCCCATTGTACAGATGGGGAGCTGAGGCACAGAGACTTGCCTGAGGTAACCCAGGATGTTTGTGGCAGAACATAGATTTGAACTGAGATCTCCCAGGTGCTATGCTAGCACCCTAACCACTGGACGATTCTTCTACTCTACTCTCTCTTTTGTTAAGGGAACTCTTAGACACAATAACTAGCGCCTTCGTGCCTGAATATTTTCTTTTTAATGTTTAGACATTCCCATTTTCCATCTTTGT